GAGAGGACGATTTTCGTTTCGGAATAGATTCGAATTTCTCGGACTTCGTTCCCGAAAAATGTGAACGATATTCTTCGTGTTCGTTTATACACTTCTTGTTTCTCTCCTTTTTCCCCCTCTGTTTTTTCTTTCTTTCTTTCTTTCTTTCTTTCTTTTTTCTTTTTTTTTTTAGGCAAACGTCAGTCAAGCCGAATACGAGAGAGCGCACAGAGAGTACCTGATGAGAATACAGTCCTCGTTTTCCAACGAAGCGACGACATTCGGAAGCGAAAAGAAGCTGCACGTGTTTCCCGCTACAGGTAATTGTACCACGACTTTATCCTCTTCTCTCGAATCATCGATACTTTACTATCCAGTTCTTTCGAACCGAAGATCTTTGGAAACGCGAAATATCGTACGGTCTTTCTGAAAAAATATACATACGCACGCTATAATTACTACTCGTGTAAACATCTAACGTTCGAGTTTCCGCCAGTCTGGCAACGTCGGCGAGATTTTACCTCGCGTATCTGGAATCGAGACACGCATCCCGCCCGACACAACCGCATCTCTATTCACCTTCCATTCCCCTCTTTATCCTTTATTCCCATCGATCGAAGCCCGTTCGATTGAGAAAAACAATTGTGGATCGAACGCAAAAGGGCAAAGGCGATTTTCGCGTTCCAAGTTTCGTTCCAAGTTCTAGTCTATACGGATATCTCTGCGAGAGGCAACTACGTTATTATGAAAGAGAAATTCCGACCGGCATGGAATGCCGAGTAACAAGTTCCCAAATGCAATAAGAAGAAATCGTGGAGGAAGAGCAATTTCTCGACGTCTCTCGCACCACTTTCGACGACCGATCATAGACTTGATCGATCGTAATCGTTTTCGTCGCGACTTATTACTGCTATTACTATTATTGCTACTACTTGCTCAAATGGTATAGTCCGCGTATCGAAAAATTATTCTTGAAAATACACCGAAGACACGATTCTGTTAATGCCAATAATGAACATAAATGTGAATATTTTCCTCTCGATAACGATAACCGAGAGATTCAACCTCTTTCGATCGGTCACGCGTGTTAAAAAAATAATTACAATTTCTCTTTTTCGTTCGATTTCGTAATCGCTAATCGCTTTACACGTGATGTATACATCGTAGCGACTCCTTTCCCCCACTCTTATCGATTTTTAATGTACAATATGTGCATCCAACTAGTATCAAGTATCTACGTATCTCTAATCGTTATAACGAAATGAAAATTGGATGCGTGCCATCCACGAATTACTTCTCGAAGTTGGTAACTCGACTAATTAGCCGATAAAAACGACAAGAACGATTTGAGCTTTAAGAATACGCGAGAGAACATACCTGTTCCTTCTCGTATTCGTATACGTTTTCATCGAATGGTAACATCCAGAAGTCGATGATCGCGAAAGGAAAAAACAAAGAAGTATGCGGAGATGAGAAGATTAGTTAGAAAAAATTGTGAAAGAGGATTCAAGGAATTTTCATTTACGTAACCGATTCAACGTCGTTGTTGTTTATTCCGTTTTGATTTGATTGTATGTTGCAGCGTATCCTGGAAACGTATCGACCGAGACGAGCGAAAGGGAAAAACCTTACCGTCACTGCTTGTTCTTCCCCGTGGAGAAGGATTTGGATCGCGCGACTGTCGATCACGCAACGCTTCGACTGTTGCTCCACGGGCCTACGACCGACCAATATTATTCCCAACCTTCCGAATTGGACGTGTTGCTCTATCTCGGAGTATCGTCGTTCCCTCATCGGTCGATAAGACTGATCGATCGTACGAGAATACGATTGGAGGATTGGCGAAACTCGAAATGGCTGGAACTTGACGCTACTCTCGCCGTTTCCTCGTGGATCGATGCTCCCCTTTCCAATCTTGGACTCGAATTGGAATTTTTATTGGACGGAGAAACAGTGACGCGCACTTTTTCCTCCCCGGTTCTTAACGTGTTCACCGCGACTCCTTTCGCGTCGACCACCGCTCTCAGACGCAAACGTTCATCGCCCGAACAAGTGATGTCCCTTCACAGAAGTCGTAGGACCAAGTGCAAAGGCGAGGGTAAAAAGTGCTGCAGACACGAACTCACCGTCATGTTTAAAGATTTGGAAGGTTTCGAGTTTATCGTTTATCCGAAAACTTTCGATGCCGGATATTGTAAAGGACGATGCCCGCCTAGATACAATCCGGCTCATCATCATGCTCTTTTGCAAAGTCTATTGTGGAAAGAAGATAGAAAAAAAGTGCCTAAACCGTGCTGCGCGCCAAGTAAACTCGATCAATTGATGATCGTTTACTTGGACGAGAATAATTCCACTCGGTTGAAAGTTTCCGATTGGAAAAACATTCAAGTACTCGAATGCGCTTGTTCCTAAATATTTCCCTTCTTCCTTTCGTTCTTATTTTTCGGAGGAAGGGATCAAACAAATCGACCGATGGTAATTTTTAGCCGTGAATCAACAACGAATTTACCAACAACAAACTGGTGGATGGGAACGATCGATCGAACTTAAAAAACCTGCACGAAAGGACCAGAGTTTTCATAGTCGTAGACGACTCACCAAAGAATCGTCCGAACGTTGTTCGTTCTTTCCGACAAATCCAACGTATTTCTTATTAACGCATTGCACCAATCTTTCTTTTCCCGTTCAGTCCCTTACTGTGCTTCATATATGCGTATGTATATGTGTATGTATCTATTCCGTCGCGACGTTTACGAACGTAATCGATCGATGAAACAGTTTTTTTATGGAAAACGAGAACGCGAAAAAAAATTGAATCGTATTACTGTTCAACGATCGATTCGATTCGGCCGAGATATCGTCGAAAGCCCCGGTCGTTTGGTCCAGGCTTTTGCATTGACTGTGATATTGAAAAATGTCTAACCCTTAATGATCGAGAAGCTGCGCTTAAATCGCACATATGTTATAAAAAAATGTGTCGACTGTTAAGGGCTAATATCTCTGCTTATAGTAATAGTATTTCATATCTTTACCTTCCTATCTTCTCTTCTCTATCTTATTTTTTTCAGCTATTTTGTGTATATGTGCTGCCCTTCTTTTTTTCTTTTTTTTTTTTTTTTTTTTTTAATACCATATGCGTATACAATGACCATTACAATGATAACAGGGAATTCCTAATGGGAAAAAGTGCAACGGCGTTTTTGATCGTGTGGTTAGTATCGTTTAAACGAAATAGTTTTATTCTATGTATTATTTATTTGATCAAATATTCAACGATTATGTTCATACATGGTATCAAAATATTATCGAACGAAACTTTCGAGAGATCGTATATATATATATATATATATATATATATATAATTTTTAAAAAGA